TTGGCTCTCATGGATTTGTTCTAATTTTCTTCAGTTTCAACTTGAACTTGCATATGAGCAATTGATGGTCTGTTCCGCAGTCGGCCCCTGGCCTTCTTCTGACTGATGATATTAAGCTTTTCCGTTGTCTCTTTCCACAGATGTAGTTGATTTAATTCCTGTGCATTCCATCTTCCGAAGTCCATGTATATAGTTGCTGTTTATGTTGGTAAAAAAAGATATTTGCAATGAAGAAGTCATTGGTCCTGCAAAATTCCATCACGCAATCTCCAGCATCATTTCTATCACCAAGGCCATATTTTCCAACTACTGCTCCTTCTTCTTTGTTTCCAATTTTCGCATTCCAATCTCCAGTAATTTGCCCAAAAGCAAAGACGAGAAGGCAGGAAGGGACAGGAAAACTGGATGAATGGACACAGGGAACCCAGGTTGGAAAGGGGGAGAGTGCTGATACATTATGGAGATTGCAACCCATGTCACAAAACAATTTTTGTATAAATTTTCGAATGAGAAACTAATTTGTGCTGTAAACTCTTACTAAAATGCAATAAAATTTAAAAAAAAAAATAATAATTGCTCACAGGGGAAAAAAAAAGACCAGACTTACTGGTCTGACACAGACTGGAGAAACCCCCGAGACACTGCCCTAAGACAACCTTCTAACTTGACACTGTGGACACACCCGGAGGCCACCTTTCAGCCAAATAATAGACGGGCCTATAAAATAAACAATAACACCCGTGAAGAACGTGCTTCTTAGAACAATCAATGATACGAAATCAAAAGGGTAACATTTGCCCAAAACCAAAGATGAGAAGGCAAGGAGGGACAGGGAAACCAGATGAATGGAAACAGGGAACCCAGGGATGAAATGGAGTGAGTGCTGACACATTGCAGGGATTGCAACCAATGTCACGGAACAATCTGTGTATGAATTATTGACTGGAAAACTAATTTGCTATGTAAACTTTCACCTAAAGCACAATAAAATGTTTAAAAAAGAAAAAAGTAGTATTCCAGGGAGAAGGAACAGAAAGTACAAACGGCTTGAGCTGAGGCATCTGGCTCTGCCCAGCTGTAGGAAGACCCCTGCACAGGATCCTCTGAGGCAATCCCTGCACTGGCACACTCAGATCTCTCTTGCCCTATACAGGCAAATGTTACACCTCTTTTAGCTCCACAGGCAAACCACCTGCCCGAAGGCACTTAGCTGTCACTCAGTGGGCCGTCAAGCACACTGCCACTGTCTATGGCCATCTCACATTGTCTTCAGTGTTACAGCTCTTTCTTTGGGTCTAGGAGGGTTCAGTGCAGAGACCCCAGGTCCATGGTCCAAAGGACATGCTCTGCTTTAGACTCTTCTTGATGGTAGTGAGGTCCCCCGAACCTCTGTGGGGTTGGCCCTTCTATAAGCAGACTGTCAATTTCAAGGCAAGGCATGGCCCTCTCAACAGGACCACAAACTGACCAATCCCCTCAGTAGACGGTAAGTCACTTAATTTGCAGTCGCAGCCAATCATTTTGTGGGAGTTACAAAACTATGGCTAGAAAGGCCATATAAAAATGATTCATTGCACTGCAATAATGTATCTGTTTCTGTTGTGGGTGCAAGGAATCTTCTGTTCAGTAATAACAATTCAGTTAAGATTTGGAGTTGGCATATTTATTTGTTTCTCTTAATGATGAGATTGAATTTCTGTTCTTTTGTTAATTGCATTTCTCATATGTGTAATTTGATTAAAGTAAGAACCAGAAAGGAGTGATATTTAGGTAGGGGGTAAGGAAGGAAGAAGAGAAGGGCTAGAGAGAAGGGAAGAAGGAAAGAAAATGTATTCCTCTTCACGCTATCACTTGTCACCCAGAGTGACACTGCTTTGCAAGTTAAGACTGGGAACGTAGCTCAAACTTTACATGTAATGATAAGTGCTTGGCATGTGTCAGGACTTATGGTAAGTATTTTATATCCATGATCTAATTTAATTTTTACAACAGTTCTATAGGGTAGGTATCAACAGCCGCATCTTACAGATGAGGATATTAAGGCTCAGAGAGGTTAAATAACTTGCACAGGGGAAAGTAGAAATGAGTGATTTCCAATGGCTTGGACAGGGCTGTCAGAATTAAACCCAAGCCATTCTGATTCTCCTCCCCTTCCTCCAAGTTTTGATCCTGTCTCTTCCTACTAATAAAGGGAGATTGGACTCTCCAGTCTTCCAATGGCAATCGTTGACTCATGGTGAGGAGCTGCGGAAGGCCCTTACAAACTACTATCCCCTTGCCCCTGTTAAACAGTGCTATTAACCGAAAAGTTAGAGGTTCAAGTCCACCCAGAGGTGCCTCGGAAGAAAGGCATGGTGATCTACTTCCAAAAATCAGCCATTAAAAATCTTACAGACCGTAGTTCCACTCTGACACAAATATGGTCGCCATGAGTCAGAATCGACTAGATGGAACCGGTTTTTTTTATCCCCTTACTGCAACAGCCTCTGAATTCAAGTCCATCCAATACTCTTTAAATTATTTTTAAATAGCAAAAGAATGCACTACACCCATTGCAAACTGGCAAGCCACACGGATCTGTACTGAGAAAAGTGATAATAAATTCAGCATTGGCACTTCTGAGGATACCATGAGAAAACACCCAGGGGTTCAAACTGATCCCAGAAGGGAAACAGATCTCTCCCTGCTTTCACGGCGCGGTCGGGTGTCTCTCCGGACTGCTAGCCCCGCCAGGCCTTGGAACCTCGGGCAAGCCCTGGGACTCCGGATTTCGGACTGTGGGGTCCAGGGAAGAGGACGGCCCTCAATCTCTGGTGCGCACACCCGGCACGCGCGCGCGCGCGCACACACACAAACAGCACACACACCCTCACGCACACATCCCACGCGGTCACAGACCACAGACGGTACAAACAGGCGCGTGCACCCAAACACACATCACACCCGCACTCACCACACCACGTACATAGGCACAGGCGGTCTCCCACACACTCGCCCACTCACTGTCCCCCACACCCGGGCGCGCACACACGCCCCCGCGGACACGCGCATCCCCGCGCACACTCGGTCACCAAACCGGAGGGGCGGCGCGGCAGCGGAGCCGGCGGTGCCGGCGGGGCGCGGCCAGGAGAGGGCGCGGCGAGGG